AAAACCTTTTTTCTTTTTTTTTTTTGGCTGAATCATGGCCTTGAAAAATAAATTAAAAAAAAACCAACAACCCAACCAGAACACGAAACCATGCTTTCCTTTGTGTGTTTTCAAATTGAGAATAAATTAGCATCTCACAAAACTGCCGACAGAGTAGCAAATTTATTTTTTCTTCACAAATTTCACATGAAAAATAAACCCTAAAAGATATGAAGACTATCCCAATAGGAATAACGTCTCCTCGGTAAGCAACTTTTAGGACTTCTTTGTTCTCGTTACATCAAGACCAACCCATGGGATGTTCCCAAAGAGCTCCTGCAGCATCCAGCTGGATAAAAGTCACAGGAAAGGAGCAATTACCCATTTCATTGTCCTAAAGTAAAGTCTTGGGCCGCTGCAAGAGCAGCTTGGGAGTAAATAGTGAAATACTACAATGAGTTAAAATTATAAAACTGCTTAAGAAAGCCCAAAGCAATTTAGTCTGGAAACAGGATGCCAGTAGGTGATAGCTTCCCAGCAAAAAATCCTTTCTGCTTCGGATATGAAATCCCCTTCTTCTAGGAGGAGTATAAACAGGATATTATCATGGCACAAGGGAAAAACAGCTGATGGTTGGTGGACTCACGAACGGAATGAAAAATATTGGAATTAGGGACGTCCTTCTAGCGTCATCTCCGGTGTTGAGGCGTTAGGTGAGTTTGAGCTGGTCAACAGGACTTGCCTCTAAGTCCATGTGAGTTGTGGCTGTTAATTCCAGTCCCCTGTGTCACCAAAAAAAAAAAAAAAAAACATATCAATCAAAATGTGAGTCTGCCATGCAGACCAAGGGGCAGCACGCGGAGTAGGAGTCAACGCTTTTGAATTGTACGTTGATGCAACACTGGTTGCCCAACGACAAATCACTTAATAACTCTAGGGTTAGGTTCATTTTTAATATGTAAATAGGCAACAGCCTTCAAAATTCCCTTATAAAGCACGTTGGGAAATTCGTTGCCCATTAACATATTAAGGAAAAAGTCATAATTGTTTTTCCTGACTCTGTCAAATCGGAAATGCTAGAAACTACACGCAGAAGATAAATATGAACGTGACTACTTAATTGTTAGCATTGCCAAGAGGTGCAGAATTTCTCGGACAGCCCTTTGGAAGATATAAAAGTTCGCCGTTCCCCGTTCCTCCTTCAGTCAGCATCAGCTCTCCGTGCTCTTCATCTTGCTTGCTCCGACAAAGGGTAAGTTGGATTATACCGATTTATCTACTGCCGAGAAGCAGGAACACACAGGGGAATTCTAGCTGACCACTTCTGTGTTTAGACCTTGCCTTTGTATTAGAAATCTCTTGGGTTTGGTGGCTGGGTGCTTTAACATATCCGCTACACAAAGGGCGCTCATGGTTTGTTCACGGCAAATGGGATGGGAGGAAAAAACAGGAGTGATCGGAGGGCCAGATCTGCAAAGACACAGAGTCTTTGGGACACAGCAAGGAATTAATTCCCAAAGTAGCTGGTGACGGAGCCAGGTATCTCAGACGAGTAGTGCGCGGTTTTAGAAGTAATTTTTAACTTTAAAAGGCAACAGTAGCGTCTTGGTAGGGAAATTCCCATCAGAGCTGGACAATCATAGAGTATCCCCCAAAAGACAAGGGGTGAGATATCCCATACGTTACAAAACAGAGGGAAACCCGAATTTCCCAAACCACTACAGAAAAAGAGCCAAGGAATACGCAGCAGGTTAGAGTGGAGCAGCATGACGGTATCTCTCTCTTCCTTACAGCTTTGCCCATACTCCGGAAAGATGTGCTCCCGCAGGCCCTGCCACAGCCACGAAACCTCCTGCCACAGATCCCGGTCCTCCTGCCACGACTCGGAGCCCTCCTGCCATTACACCATCCTGAGGCAGCCCGTGCAGACGTACAGCTACGTGACGCCCTGCTGCCCCCCCGTTCAGGCCTATTGCCCCCCCGTGCAGCGCTATTGCCCCCCCGTGCAGCCCTACTGCCCCCAGTACACCAAGAACATCTGCAAGCTGCCGCCGACGTGCCCCAAGTACTAGCAGCAGGATCCGGCCCCGACGCCAGGACCCACCGGCTCGCTCCTCCCTTGGACGCTGTGGCCGTGGCTCATCTCATCCTTACTGAAATCCCTGGGTCTCTGCCATGTGCATCACTGCTGATCTGGATGAAGTGTTCCCCTAATTATCATTCAAGATGTCATTCTTTCTAATTATTCAGGAAACGTCCCTTCTAATTTTCTGTGTATAATTACTGTTGGGAATCTTTCTATGCCGTGCACTTCTGTTTCAGACTCATCTGGGTGTGGGAAACAATAAATCTTACAAGTCATGAGATCCGTATTGTCCTTCAATTTCTTTAATTCCCTTTTTTTCTCTAGACTTATTATTATTCTGGATCTTTCAGTTGAATTTCCTCATATTGGCAGAATGACCCGATAGTTAGGGGTCAATAACAACAATTCCCAACTTTCATTTTGGGAAAGAAACAGACTCATTAGTAGAGGAAAAATTCCTCAACTACCAAAAGCCTACATGGACCTAAAGGGCTGAGCAGAACAAAGCTTCCCCCTGCTTGCACCAGACGATGAGCTGGTCTATGCAGATTTTTTTTTTTTTGTCCATCGTTTTGAAAACAACAAGATCAAACACAACCGAACGCAAACTCTTTTGTTTTGGAGACAAACATAGCTCTTTAAATGAAAGAGGAATAAGTAGTTCACAGCTGTTAATATTCTTACTCAATCCGTGCAATAATTTACTCCAAGCCAACTTCAAAACTTGGGCATAGAAATATTTTCAAATATCTTTATTCCTCCGAGCCTCTGAAAACCCAAGTCGCAAACTTCTTTTTCGTATTCCAGTCTTGCTTGTCACTAGTATAGATTTTGGAGTGGAGAAATGGGTGAGCCCAGGGAAGGTCCATCTCGCGTCAAACTTTTGTGCATTCCACAGCACGGATCTGAACGCGACAATATGTCATTGTGGAGAGCTCGTAAACCGAATGCTGTTGAAGCTAACTGAGCAAGTATCCACCACCACGTTGTTCTAAAAATGAAATTTCACCGCGGTAGATTTGGCTTCCCTTCCACATTCCCCTCAAAGAACGGTGAGCAGTGGATGATAACTCGTTAGGGATAATGTTTTCTCTAGCAGGATCCGAATTTGAGAGACTCCGAAAGATTATTCGGGTGGATGTAATTCAGGACAAGCCAGCTTTGGAAGGCTGTTGAGGAGGTAGAAAGATTTTGGAGGTGCGATGCTCCAGGCCAAAGCCTGGAGGAAAGGGGAACTGTCACACAAGCACTGGCTTCACCAACGGGGCAGCTGCGGCCTCTCTTGGTTTCGGACCCGCAACTGAGTCACAAAATGTCCCTGAGGAAATCCTGCAATACTCCTTTGCTACACAAAACTCACCACAAGCAATTATATCACCTATAGCCTGAAGAAAAGCTGTAGGACACCCCTACTTTAGGGAGAGCTTCTTGCTAGCAGTTAATAAATTGCTCTAATGGGTAACATTTTCCAAAGTCGATGAGTTACAAGCTTCGTTTTCTTATACTTCAACAACGGAGTCAAACAGGATTCTAAATCCATCTTTAGTGCCCGTAATTTCACCACTAGTGACAGAACTCAGTGTTTGCTCCCACTTCAGCTCAGATGCTCCTTTTCTCTGAACCCTTTGCTTTCGAAAAAAAAAAAAAAAAAAAAAAAAAAAAAAAAAGAAATCAGTGAAGGAAAAGAAAAACGAAGGAACAGGGAAAACCTAACACACTCGTACTTTGTACAAATCTTATCACCAGACATTTTTCTCCGATCTTAAGTCCTAAATAACCTTTGATACATATGGAACAGTCTGATGGGGTCAGCCAAGTCATCTGGCAAGTCAAGGAATATGTGAAGAATCAGAATTTTTTTTTTTATTTTTTTTTTCCTGTACAGGGAACCGAAGAGATCATGCCAGATTTCCCAGCATCGTGCCATACCCATGAGTTGCAGTTGGTAATCCCATTTCCTCTTGGCATTTAACAACGCATAAATTAAAACCCTGAGCTGTCACCCGCACAAGACGATAGGCCTACCCCAGGAGTCAGCATTTCTGAGACTTAAAGACATTTCTGTCACTGATGCAATCCCGGTTACCCATTGGCAGGCTAATTAACACCTGTGAGATTAGTGTCAGTCTCCAGGAAATGGGAAAGAAATGCCTTCCAAAATCCCTATAGGAAATAAATCATTAGGAATTACATACGGGATGAAATACGGCGTGTCAAAGAGGAAATACTAAAAATAGGGTAACGCAACAATCTGCGGGATTCGGCGCGGAAATAATTAAATTGCCATTGCAAAGAGGTGTCTCATATCCGAGATGAGAACTTTTTGGAGCCGTATAAAAGATCGCTCAGCCCAGTCGTCCTCAGTCGCTCACCTTCGCTTCCAGACACTTCTTCCTGAAGCTGAAGAGGGTAAGACCGATTTTACGACTTCTGGTCACGCTGAGAGAAAAGAAACCTCCACTAGAGGGTTTTATGGATCTCCTGGGAGCTGGGACTTAGCGAAATGCCTTCTCCTCGCACCCTTGAGGTGCTCTGAGGCAGGAAGAGTGAAGGGCAGATGGAGGGATGGGGGGTCACCGGGGAAGGTGCAGCAAGGGCACACGAAGGGATCCTCAGGCAACACGAGCTCTGCGCTGTTTTACAAAGGACTTTGGGAGCGGTTTGTGGGGCTCATTGCATCAGCTCGCAGGGGCCAAGCTTCACACAGCAATTGCCAGAGCAAGCCCTGCAGATCAGGCAGGATAGAGAGGGCATTCGGTCTGGATTAGGCAGGCAAAAAGAGAGAAACCGTTCGCTGGGGATCTCAGGAAAAATATTGTTTAAAAAAAAAAAAAAAAAGGGGGGGATGAGGGAGGAAATGTGAGAAGTGAATCTGGGAGTCCCCTCACCCACACTGATCTCTTGCTCCTGACAGCTTTGCCCATACTCCGGAAAGATGTGCTCCCGCAGGCCCTGCCACAGCCACGAAACCTCCTGCCACAGATCCCGGTCCTCCTGCCACGAATCCCACTCCTCCTGCCACGACTCGGAGCCCTCCTGCCATTACACCATCCTGAGGCAGCCCGTGCAGATGTACAGCTACGTGACGCCCTGCTGCCCCCCCGTTCAGGCCTATTGCCCCCCCGTGCAGCGCTATTGCCCCCCCGTGCAGCCCTACTGCCCCCAGTACACCAAGAACATCTGCAAGCTGCCGCCGACGTGCCCCAAGTACTAGCAGCAGGATCCGGCCCCGACGCCAGGACCCACCGGCTCGCTCCTCACCCAAAGCCTCAAGCTCATCTCCTTTGCTCATTGCCAGCCGCTTCTCTGCGAGGAATTCCAAGAGCTGTACGGGAGCGTGTCATTAGGATGAAGTCTCTCGGTTTAATATGAGCTTTTTCATCTTCTTTCTGCCAACTCAAAGCACACTGTCTGCTGGGGAATAGTTTCTTCCTTGCTTTGTTGCTTCATTCTTCAGCAAGAAAATAAAAATTTCAAGCCTACCTAACAGTTCTGGATGTTTTTAGTCACCACATCATCGTATCTGCTTGTTTGGCAGCAATTTATTATTTTTTTTTTCCCCACATGGTTTTAGAGCCGTGTTTGAATCACTGGTAAAAATAAATGAATTTGGAGGAATGTCAAGGAAACACGGAAGGCAAGGAGAACGCCCGTGGCACCCACCAGTGATGCCAGGATGAAGAGGGCTGGGAGAAACACTTTGGGTTAACTCTTGGTGAAACCGAGTATTTGCACCGAGCTCAGCAGATAGAACGGGGGGTTCAGCGTTACAGCCAGGGGCCCGGCCTGCACGTTCATGTTTTTATTGCAGACGCGATCTTTTAAAAGCCGCTGCTATATTTGGAAACAAAACAAAGCGAATCCTGCCGGGTTTGGAACCCGCCTCAGAACACCCTCAATTAAACCATTTCTACAGTGTGAAAT